CGCAACTTGGTTTTGCGGAACACCAGCTTGAAGTTGCCCTATTGCCCCATTAGTTGCCATCAGGCACCTGATTGGCAGCACCTGGGGGTACCAGAAGCTCAAAACAAGTGTCAATAGCAACAGCAAAATAACCTGTTTGGCATTGGCAGAAAAGATTTGGCAAATTTTTCATGGGCGCAACCCACATACATGGACATAAACTACTGTGTACTAACATTTGTAGACAGACAATAGTGCAAAGGATGCTGAAATAAATACATTATCAGGTTTCTTGGTATGTTGCCAGGTAGGAGGTAAGGCAATATACACCAGTATATACAGTATGCACAGCATGGGTAGATGTGTTGGAATGATTGTATTTGTGTTTTAAAAAGGAAACTGAATTTCAACCGTGAAAACAAGAAATAATAAATAGTTTAAAAGCAGCAAATCATCACATTTGACAAGCTGGAAGCAGCAAATATTAACAATTAACATCTACAATTAAAACAATTATCAAAAGTGTTTCAAAAGATTCTCTTGACTGACTGATCAAAATAATCACTGAAAATAATAATCACCAGCCAATATGTATTTTTGGACTTATTAATCACATTTACTTTACATACATTATATATGTATGTATTTTGTTTGAAGAGTAGCATAAAGGGAAGTACAACCTGAATTTAATTACACAACCCTGTGTTGTAAACTGCCAATTAAATTACTGTGGAAGGAAATTAGTTACCACAGGGTAGAAGTTATGAAACATCCTCACTACTATATAATAATGTACAATATTAGGACGGTTTATATGTAAATATTGTGCATTTTTGTGCCTTTTTTAATATATTTTTCACTAATGTTATGGATATATGAATAACAATGGCAATGCATTTTTTTATGTTTCTCTTAAGTCTATGATAGTGAACCCTCTGTGTGTCTCTTCAGCCGTTTCAGGTTGTTGCCACAGAAAACGTGAACCCCATCGCTCTGGAAGCCAACGTTGATTGCGCGCTCGCCACAGAAAAACTGGATGGCACTTGCTGTTACGTTGCAGTTTATAAAGGTGGGTATCCGTCAGAATGGCAGCGACCATAGAAGCCCTCATGAGCAAGTGACCGCAGTATGCTACATCTTTTATCGAGTAAAAACACACCAAAGGTACTACTTTAGACTGGACAGATGTGAGGGGTTGCTGCCTCTTCTGCTTTATATTGGAAAATGTGGTTTATTGTTTTCTGCAGGGCAACCTTCCCTCTGGGCTCGACTCGACAGGAAACCCAACAAACAGGCAGAGAAGAGGTTCAAAAAGTATCAGCATTCTCACAGGACCTGTAAAGGTATCTTAGCTTCAGTTAATTAAGTACATGTGAATACAAATGTTGGGGAACGAGGTTGGACTAGTGTTATTGTTCTGTCTTAGGTTTCACGTGGAACGTAGAGGAAGATTTCAAGACGGTGCCGGAGACGTGGATCCCAGCCCACAGAGTCAAACACCACAATGGCCACCCAGTGCCCGATGAGCATGGACACATTCCAGGTGCCGAAGTGAAACCATTCATCTCGAAGTAAAATAAATCCTAAAAGAATCTTTGAAATCATTTAGACGGGGCCAGCAGGAAGTTACTTCACAAAGCCTTTACTGCAAATGTGCCGCTGCAGGCCCCATCCGCTTCATGGTAGACTGAATCTAAAGTGGTCATTAAGGTGTACCAACGCAGGACATAAAACCCCCACACAGCAACACCATTAAAGATAATAGTCGTGTGTAATGTTCATAAAACACAGACCTCACCCTGCAGCCTAGAACAGAGTAAACAGGTAGAGAAAATGTTGAGAAGTTCTCAGTTTGCAGTGTGATCAGAGTATCAGCACAAATACAGTTACACGTATGAGGGAGTTCATAACTGTGTGTTTATGCAGAGATACAGAGTACATAAGATGGTACAGACAGTAAAATTACAACAAATCCCAGCACTGGCTTATGTTGAATTTGCTTTGAAATGATCTCAAAGATGTTTGGTACACATAGATGAAGTAATGAGACCCGCGTCCCTGGATTCCATTCAGAACATCAACCAGTTACATTTGTGATGTAGAAGATGGTGGAAATGCTTTTTCTGTCAGTGTGCATGACGCTGCCTGCAGAAGTGGTGATTTGGTTCCCGTGAATGTTCAGGCTGGGTTCCAGTGGAGAAGGACAACAAGCAGTACTGCTGGCACTCCTCTGTGGTGGATTATGAAGTCCGGGCGGCTCTCATTCTCAGGCCCAGCGCCGACAATGAAGACGTGCTAGAAATGGCAGCGGTGCCGTTGGCCGACCTCCTGGAGCAAACACTGGAGCTCATTGGAACCAACGTCAACGGAAACCCTTACGGTAATACTGACATTGCATTTTCCCTTTAAATGATCATTTGAAGTTGTTAACACAAGCTTATGTTTGTCAATTTTAATAATACAAGTTGCTTAAAATGGTTACGTTGTTTTTTTAATCTAGTTTATTTTCTCTTGTTGACAGTATTCATCAGTTCAACTGTATGTTTTTCTGAGACAATAATCAGAGGTGCTCTGCAGAGAACCAAAACACATTGTGTGTCAAATGCATTTCCTTCCTTGAAAAAAACATTTTACAAAGTGGATTTTTTGCAGATTATTTACATCCAGGATTTTTTCTCTTCCCTGCCTTTGTTGGTACAGTTACGTTTCTTTGCATGTTACTGCCACTGGTCGACAATGATGACAGAATAATGTGAAGCAGTCATCAGCAAAGTGTATTGCATCCATGTGCACAATTAAATCAAAACATTTTAGGGAAAAAGGATACTAAAATATGTAATTACTATAATAAATAATAAAAACAGTTTATTTGTAACAAAGTTTTATTGTCCTAACAGGATTGGGGAGTAAGAAGCAGCCTGTCCACTGCTTGGTGTCACACGGGAGCGTTCAAATCAGTAACCCTCCACCAGTGGACTTCCAGCAGCTGTGCTCCTGGTTCCAGGAGAGTCCAGAGGGCCGGGTTGAGGGCATTGTCTGGCACTGCAACAACGGCACACTCTTTAAGGTAAGAAAAGTTAACACACAGCGTCCACAGTGCGCATGTTTCCTAACTGAGCGTGTGCAAACTGTCAATTTTGAATGTAGAATTTCCTCCTTTCCGGGATAGAAATCCTACTTGATGACTGATTAAATAAAAAAACAATTAGTTACACAAGTGAGTGTTTGATATACAGTGCAGCAACCCATAGACAGACTTCTTACTTGGAAATAGTTTTCTTATTTAAATTAAAAATGTTTTTTGAATTCCAAACTTTACAGTATTAAACGCATGGAATTTGAATGGCTATTATGTCTGTAGGTCCATCGTCATCACCTGGGACTGAAGTGGCCAGGCGGGGAAACCTCCCTGGGTGACAGGTCGGTGGTCGTTCATGTTGATGGGACGGTTGACGAATACAACAACAGCAAGGACTTGTTCACATCCTTCTCCAGACTAAAGGGACACCATATCAGCCGACTGAAGGACATCCAGTTTGACTCGTAAACACAGAGAACCTCAAACGTTCCTTTTGTTTTTTTAAGCTGCTGCTGCGACGCTGTAAGGATTTAGCACTTTGGTGATAGCTGCCAGATATGTTCCGCAGTAATTCCAGATGAGTACACAGTGTATTACAGCCTGGAGACATTGCTTTGCAGAAATGTGTAAAAATGACCAACTGAAGTCGTTCAAAGATTAAACTACTGTAAATACTGTATGTTACAGCTGAAGGAAGACGAGTATGTCATTCTTTTCTGTATAACTTAATGAATCCGAAAAGCCTGATTAATATTAAAGCTGCTTTATTGACAAATACATAGAAGCACAGTGTGTCAGAAATGTACAAACATAAAGAAATAAATATGCAACATAATGAGTTACATCACCAGAGCCAGGATGTAGTATGAACAATAAACAGCTGCCTTATGGAAGAAAGTAAGAGTTACATCAGTTCACTGACAGGTCAACTTTACGCTTAGTTCCTGTAAAGAGACATTTTCTAGCAAAGGAAAGCTATTTGCTTGAGAATTGGCAACATTCTGATTGAAATCAGGAACTATCAAAGAATAAATGGCAAAAAATAAGTAAACAAGGATACAGTCTGATATTAATTAGTGTACATATAAAAAATAATAAACCTCCTATAAACAAGTTTGTAATAAATGAATCTTACATTCTAGGGTGGATAAAGGCTCTCTAAATATCACTGTAGTTTCAGAAAAAGAAACGTCAGTCCATAAATAACTGTGTCGTTACCAGCCACAACAAACATAATTATTGACTATTGGCCCTGAAATTCCCCGTCGGTGCATCTCTGCCGATCAGACATTTGATGGCAACGTGTCGCCTGACAGTTTTCACTACTCACTACCAACATTGTATTGAATGTTAATACCCAGCCCCACAGATCTAAAAAGAAATGTACCTGCAGAGTGGACAATAATGTCCACTTTTAAGGACCGACAAGCATAGAATGACATTCAGGTGTAGTTTTAACAGTCCTGGCTTCATTAAAAGGCACAGTAACCCTGAGCTAACTGATGGACGAGCTTGGCAGTTCGACCTTTACACCAAACTGATCACACACCTTCTTCAGCTGTTCCTCCAGCAGAATGTTCTTCTTGACCTCTAAATTGTAATTATATTTCAAATCTTCAATCTCTTCAAAAAATGTCGGGTCGAAGCTCTCCAATTCTTTCTTCAGCTTTTTAACCTCAGTTTGAAGTTTAGTTCTCTCTGTTTCGGCTGCGTGCAGAAGGTTTTTGAGCTTCCCGTAGTCTGAGAATACAACGAGAGAGACGACTGAGGTGACAGTTTACATCTCGTATATTAAGCTGAGTAGTCTGGTTAATGTCATTAGACTGAGACTCAATTACGTATACAGAAAAACACGTTGCATATTTTGATATTAAAATTAAAATACAAAATCGTGGCTCTTCAGTGTCAGGTTACAGTCATAAGTATGTGGCATGCTGTGCTCGGATAGGCATGCTTCTTTTTTACTTGATAACAAAATAAAAAAAATCTATATAAAAACACTACAACAAAAGCCAAATAAATCATGCAGCTTAGTTCATCGAAGAAACAGTAGTGTGTTTAGAAGTCTTACCTAGTTTAGAAGATGTCTCACCATACCGCTCACTGTACTCGTTCAGCTTTTGTTTCAGTTCTGTGTTCTCCAATCTGAAGATAACATGCAACATCAGGGCGGGAAGTATTGCTGTCCACCATCTGAGCATTGATAAACCTGTAGATTTGCTTACACTAATTTGGTCCTGTGTCAGACTAATCATTGTGACTTACAGGGCATTCAAGGTAATGCAGTATATTATGATTGGCTTGGCAATAAATCAATATGATTATTTTTCATCTCAGTGGAATTATATTGTGATGACGTCTAAACTGAAGATGAATGAAGCAAACTGCAATATACAGCTGACAGAACCACTACGGTATTTTAACACATGTACAATGCTTTCCTTACTGTAATACATAACAGTGTATGTTATGTACTGTGTATGTATAAAACCCTGCATTTAAAATCTACTTGATTATACTGTGTGTTTGTGCATTTCTTTGCCATATTGTGATATATATGGATACCCTATGCACACAGTGTGATTTTGTTCTCACTGGAACAAGCTGCCTTTGATTTTTAATGAATTACACATATAATAATAAGAGCGACAATTTCAACTTAACAATTTCATTGCAAAAAATTGCCTTGAAACATCGCCACATGCGTTGCAATTTTTGAGAAAAGCTGCTGTCAAATCTTTTTAGGCCACAACAATCCCTGCCAAATCCTGGAGGGCCTGGTTATATTACTGTATTATCACTATTATTGACAGTGCACACGGTTTAACAAACCTCATTGACTGCAGCTCCTTGGTTAGTCCTCCTCCTGTCTTTGCAGCGGTAGGAAATCTTTTCAACATGTCAACCTAAGAAATGACAAACTTATAATTACAATTTAAATACATTTATACAGGACATTTTATATTGACTACTCTTCTGTCACAAACAAGCTGCACAGTAAGACCAGCTATACAATGGAAATGCCAGACTTTAAAGTAAAATATTTTCTTTTAACCACCAATTTTACACGTCAAGGTCAATGGACTCCTATGACTAGTACATTGACTTCAGTTGGATAATCGGGGTTATCTCAGCTTGGACTTGGAGGCTTTAAATTTGAAAAGAAAGCCTGTGTGACAAATCGGGGTTGGTGAGTTTGAAAGATGTGGGTAACCCTCTTGAAATGACATGATTGAACAAAGCCAAAAGGCCATCCAGTCTGGACCAAAGCACTTATAAACCCATTAGTCATTACTGTTAGAGCACTGACACTTGGTAAAAAACGGACAAAATGTAACATAAATAGTTACACACCATAATTACACTTCTAAAATCAAAGTGTTTTATTAAAAATCTGTTTCAGTACCTGATCTTCAAGTTGCCGAACATTTATCTGAGCTCTCTCCTCCCGCTCGTTGACCTCCTTCAGCTGCTGTTTGAGCTCAGTGAGACCGGAGGTCTTCTGGGAGAGCTCTTTCTCCAGCTCATTCATCTTGTTCTCAAACATTCTGCGGATGGAAGTGAAACAGCCACTGGCTCACACTCTGTACACTGTACTTGTACCCTGGAGCTACTACATGTGGTAAAGGTTTTAAATTGAGCCACCTGTGAAAGCCTGAGTAGCAAGGAGGGAATGGAGACTGATTTAACCTATGGTACACCCACCCCTCAGGAAGCTTTTAAACTTGTTGAAAAAACAATTTGCTGACCTCGTCACCACAGATGCCTTCCAGGCCTTACTGTCCGCTTGTTCTGTGATGGGTCTGGATAGAGCTGCCCGCAGTCTGTGCTTGGTTTCTTCCAGCTCTGCCTCGAGCTTCTCATTCGTTACCTCCAGACTCGTCTTGGTCACTCTCAGCCTCTCTGCAGCTTCAATTTCCTGTCACAATATGAAACATGCATAAGCAGGTGGGAGAACAGAGATGAAAACGTGTTCAGAATGTGTTATTTTAAGAGAAATCCTGGTAAAAAAGAAAAAGCATTTAGGATACAGAATCAAACTCTTGAAGGTGTTCTCTGAATCTAGTGACTAAATACCAACTTTCATTACAATGTCTGTCTTCAGAAAGTGCTTCTGAACATTTCACTTTTATTGTGGGACTAAGCAAAGATATGTTGTTACCCTTTTGTTCTCCTTGCGTAGACGTTCATTTTCCATGACTATTTTCTCCAGTCCTTTAGTTTTAGATTCAAGTTTGGAAGTCAGCTCAGCTTCACTTTGACTCTTCAGTTTCTCATAGTCAGCCTAGATAAAACCAAAAACAGTTAATGTCAGCTGTAGTAACCGACTTAAACTTGTTCGACAAAATGTATATGACATAATGTGGTCAACGACCTTTAGTTTTACGTTTTCTTGCTCCAAGGCAGCGACCTTTTCTTGATTTGCAGGTGCACTGGATTTCTTTAGCGTCTCATTTTCCCTCTGCACCCTCTCCACCACCCTCTTCATCAACCCAATGGTCTTCTCAAGTTCAGGTACTGTTTTACCACTGTGGCCAGCCTGAAGAGGAACACATTCATTCTCATGATCTACTAGAACAAGAGTTTGGTGAATTCAATTTCTTTTTGTGCTTTCTATTGCCTTTATTATATAGTAAGAAAACGAGTAGGAAAAAGACTTGTGAATAGATATGCATAGCTGACTTTAGCTTAACATACTCCACGTAGCTGTGCCAGCTTTTTCTCCACCTCTGCCTTTTCCATTTTCAGCACGCTGCACATTTCCTTCAGGTCTGCAACTTGATTCTGTAAAACAACAAAGAGAAATTGGATGAAATCTCACATACATCTTACATTTGCTCCTACCTAAATCAATATTGTACCCTCCTACAGATCTTACAGTTACTAGTTAATGTGTGGTAGGGGTTATACACTATTGTATTGAATTGTTCGTACAGTTATGACACTGAAATAAAGTCACAGATGGTATTTACATTGCAGCTTAAGAAGATACACAATTTAAGTAAGATAAAAATGCCATCAATAAAGAGGGAAAAAAATCCAGCTTTCATTGACAGGTTTTTGGGAAATACTCTTCTTCGCTTTCATGCCAAGAGTTAGATGAGAGGATTGATACCACTAAAGTCTAAATATGAAGCTTCAGCTTGTAGCTGATTAGCTTAGTTTAGCACAAAGACAAGAAACACTGGAAAACAGCTAGCCTAGCTCTGTCGAAAGATCATAAATTATAACAACCAACCCCTCTGAAGTTTCACTAATTAAAACTTTATAACGTTCTTTTTTATGTGCACCAAAACAGATGAGTAGGACCCACCTTCATTTGCTGTACTGTGTCTTGGCAAGAAAGTAAATAAGCATATTCCTGGAATATCAGCACTATTATAACAATGGCATAGCACATAACAACTACTTGTCAGTTTAGTTTACGCGTACCTTGAGTCTCGGTAAGTCTTTGTTGGTCTGCTCCAACTGAAAGCGCAGCTCCAGGTTCTCAGAGGCCAGCTTGAGGTTTTCTTTTTGGAGGTCCTGATCTCTCTGTGAGGGAGTGCCAGTGCCTCGTCCTGAAGTCTGCAGCAAGTCAAAGACACAAAATCAGCCACAGGAAATGAATTCAAAGGCATGGTGGGTATATAACACTGCTGTGAAGGACAAACAAAAGCTCTAAGGGAGTGTAGAACAACAGCTTCATTTGAAATGAAACTGTCTCTACCCAAACACAACCACGGGAACCTTTGGTCCATAACGGACAATGCAGAGGAGGACAACACCTACACAATAACAAGCCACTTACTAATCACTTTTACTGCCTTGGGTTTGTTCTGCTACATCTATCGCACTGCACTACCACTTCACCTGGGTGATTAAAGAAGCCTGAAGTACCTTCAGATATTTAAGAGATCTGCTTTCCCGTTTTCGTACACGCTCATCCTTTTTTTTACTGATAAACCTCTCTGGGTATTTGCTCCGTATGGAGTCCACATCTGGTTCTGGTAAGCACAACTTTCCTGGATTATCTTCCTCTGTTGACTCCTTTGTAGTCTCAACCGCTTCATCTTTCAGCTCAATCTGTTGCTCAGCCTCTTCTGGCATTTCCTTCTTGATTCCCAACTCATCATCATCTGTATCTTGATCAGCTAGTTCCCCAGCACCCTGTTTATTCACTGTTTCACTCAGCTGCCCGCCTGTTCCTCCCGCGGCTGGCTGAGGGGATGACATGTCTGATCCTGGTCTTTCTGACATATCACCTGGCTCACTTCCTTTTGTGGTCTGTGATTCTTCCTTTTCTTCGACCACATGAACTTCAGAACCACCTGGGATGTCTTGTGTACTTTCTAAAACATCTGCTTCTGTTTCTGTCTCATTTTCTGAAACATCATCTTCTCTGGTCACATCTGTTTTGCCCACTGCTTCGTTTTGTGCAACATCAGGACTTGATCGGTCCCGTTTACTGCGAACATCCCCTTCTCTGGTTTGAGTTTTTCTCTTGATCTGGCTTGGCTTGGCTTCCCTCTGTTGGTCAGCTGGGGTTTGGCTAACAGAGCGACTGTAGGAGTCAACAGGACGAAGTGCTGCATTACCTTTGCGTGGCCCATCCTCAACATCAAAAGTTACAGAACAAATCCCTCTCCAAGCATGGGAGGGGGACCTTTTTCCCTTCACATGTAATAAATCAGATTAAATCAAGAGGAGAAGGAGAAACATAAAAAAAGATAGTAAAGAATGATGAACAGAAAGATAAAAGGAAAACATATTTGGCAGTAGAACAGGGACATGTCACAGAGAGAGGAGAAAATGATTTGCTCAGTACTAGGGTAGGGTGATTGGACAAATATACCCATCGCTGTGTTTTTTTTTAATTTAGTTTTTTTGGGGGGGGGGGTTGATACATAGGGTGATTTTTAATTTATTAGCTAATTTAATGGCCTACCTTTGAAGAATGGGAACTGCTCAGTGACAGACGTTGAGCGGCGCAGTACACACACTGACAAGACGAGAAAAACAGCTGTAGAGCCTGTGTATTTTCACATCAAACTGCAGTGAATTAAGGGTTTATTTAGAGGCCGAATATTTTCACACCTAACTCTGTTAGATGGTCAGACACCAGAGCTGATGATTGATAAAATGGTTTGGTGAGTTTTATTTTTTTTGTCGACTTTAAATGAAGTGTGTTTTACGATTGCAAGGTTAAGTATAAGAGAGAAACTTAAAATGTTTAATGTTAATGTTAATTAACCTAGATTGTTTTTGCAATTAATTGATAAATCATTTAGTCTATAAAATGGCAAAAAGGTGAAAAATACACATCACAAATTCCAAGAGCCAATGGTGACGCTTTCAAATTGCTTCTTGTTGAATACTGAAAGCTCTATAAAACAGAAACACTGAAAGTTCTTATTTGAGAAGCTGAAGCTGAATGTTTGGCACATTTGCTTGACAGACTTCTTATATTATAAACCAGTTGATCAACAAAAAAAAATTTCAGTCAATTGAAAAATAAACAAAGGGTTCCAGCGTGCATTAATGTTTCTATGTGAATTATCAGGGTGTTTCACAAAACGTCATCATGTTGAGCACTCACAGAGGGTCTTGATAGAGGCTCTTTTGATATCTGACTCTCTAAGGAGTGGAGTCTCTCCTCCAGGTAGCGGTTCCTCAGGCTCAGATTCTCCATGGCGTCATCACGGGGTAAAGCCTGGTGCTGTCTGCAAGTTCAACAAGAAGTTCATGGTATGAAGTTAATGACATTTTACTTTAACGGACAAAACCTCTGTTGTCAAAACTCAGATTGGAGCCATATCCAGTTATTTGGATTATTCTGTAGGGGTTTCAGTGTAGCCTCAAGTTTATAATTCGCTAAATGCAACAGTAACACCTAAAAAGTCTTAGTGCTTTCCAAATTTAGACTGTGTATCAATAGAAGAAGTTGAATTTATATTTTGTGAAGCCATCTTTTGCAACGTTTTTGTCAATTCGTTTTGTTATTAAACTCAGCACATTGTAAAATGGGCCTCCTGTTCATCAGTGTGTTTTTAGGTTATGTATATATTGCAATGGAAAATATGATAACACAATGCACACATATACTGAATCATCATGCACAAGATCTTTAAAATAAACCAAAACACGTCACTAAAATTGGGGCATTCTGAACAATAGCAAAGACTGCGAGTTACTTTATGGTGAAGATCTGTCTCTCCAGGTCTGAGTTCTTCTTCTTCAGCTCCTCCATCTCCCTCTCCATTTCAGTGGATCGCACTCCCACCACCTGATCAGCAGTGACTCCTCGAGCCTTCAGCTTTTTCTGCATTGCACTCCTCTCTTGCTCCAGTCTGTATATATAATATAGAAAGTAATCCTTACATGCAGCTTTAATTATAATGATGATCATTCAGATGATTTCATTACAGTACATTCCAGAATCACACCTTCAGTCCCTCTAGCTGTAATTTGCCTAATGCGGCTTTAAGCTGTAAGTAATCCTGTCATGTGCACAAAAAGCAAAGAATAAAAACATCAAAGATCAAAGAATGCTTTGTAAACCGTCCAGTATGAGGTACACACTGACCTGGCATAGAGGTCTTTAAGAGTGCTGAGCTGTTTTGACAGTGATTCATTCTCTCGTTCCTTCTCCTTCAGTGAATTCTTCACCTTTTCCATCCTGGCCTGCCATTTCTTTCCCTCCTCCCAACGCACAATTTCATCTCTATTCTGTCAGACAAACAAGGCGCACATCAAGTGAACATGCGACGAACGATAACAATAATTATACAGTAAAAGAGCTGTGATATAATGTCTGATGTTGACTGAATTGATGTCCAAACCTTTCCATGATCATCTTTAACATTTTTCGTTTCTGTTCTCTTCTCCAAGTCATACTCCAGCCTCCTGATCTTCTTCTGCAGATTCTCAATGGTCAGCCCCTGCCCATCTGGTTCTGGTTGATTCTAATCGGCAAATATGGAGAAAAAGATTGTCATAGCACCTCACTTTTCTCAGAAAGAGTACAGTAAATACTGACAACACTCCTAACGGGATGAGAAAAATCACACTGCAAAGGTTAGGGTCACCACCCATGGCCTCATGTTAAAGATATTAGAGACAGAAATGCAACAAGGGTGCTGAGAAAAATCCAGACCCCAACTTTAATAATACACGCTGGAGCTAATCCACAAGAAGACCCAAATAATGAAATAAACTCTGATATCCACTAGGATAGAGGAGTTGATTTTAAATCTTAGAAGAACGTGAGATTACATTGTCGACGCATTCCTCAATTTATTTTAAATTTGCCGCGAAAGAACCTAGCAGGGTTTGTGTGTCTTGCCTAAGTCAGGAGATCCCGGTCATTTGTCCACCTGATGTTATGCTGACACTGGTGTGTGTCATGTGGCTGTTGTTGAGTGCATAACTCCAAGGTTTATGTAATAACAACAGCAGCAACAACAATAAGCTCCAGATCACAGTCCCAGTCACAGTCCTTACAGATACCAACCTGAAGGGCGCTGCTGAGCCTCTTGATTTGCTGCTTGAGCTCCTGGATTTCCTGCTCTCTCTCCTCCTTTTCAGCCTGCAGGCGTCTCTGGGTTTTTTGACTCCTCTGGAAGTCCTGGTTCAGACTGTCCACTTCCTCTTTCAGGGTGTTCTCCCGGCCTCTGGCTGCTTTGACAGACTCCTTTGCAGCTTGAAGTTCTTCATTGAGTTCTTGCACCCGCACCTTTGGAGAAGAGGGATTCTTCAAATTAAAGGATATGTCTGATGATATTCTGTTGTCTTCTTATTGACAAGGAATCTCATGAAAAAAACCTCAAAGAATGTATGCGTCTGTGTAAAAGAATATAGCCAGACTTGTCCTTTAATGTTACCATGACTACTTGCTTATTATACTAGTTAGTGATGCCCGTGGAATATAAATGGCTACAGGCATTCTATAAATATTAGTATCTCCAGATAAAGCAGTCTGTTAGTATTTAACTTTATTTGCTGTAACACTGCAACGTATTCACATCTGCCAAGTTATGCTACACAGACTAATCAGCATGCAACTGGGTGAAAAAAAATTGTGATACATTTACTACTGGCTGTAAACTGTGATTAATGGAAGAGCCATGAAAGGGAGTTGACCAGATGTTAAACATGCCATCTGTGCAAGGAGGCTGGCACGTGCCAACTTCACCTTATGGTTATCTACTGTTCAGAGACACTGGAGACAGATGGGCCGTGACTGTAAATCAATGTTGACCAAAAGCATTTACTAAAGGTTGCTAATGAGTATAAATGTGTGAGTAGATGATATTTCTGTTCCTTTATGGAATGTTCCTATTTTATAGAAAATATTTGTTAGTGTAACCTGAACAATAATTAACTTGATGCTTTCTCTGTATTAGTTATTTAGCTCAACAGATATTAAGATACGTTAGTAATGACATACAACATGCATGAAAAACAGTAGTGTGATAAATGGATCCCACCTTTAGGTCCTTGGTGTGTCTGTCAACCAGCATCTGTACATTGAGACTCTCCTCTTTTTGTGCAGCGCTGACTATAATTTGCTGCTCTGCAGCAGATGTCATCTCTGCCCGCAGCCCCAACAGAGCCTTACTGAGAGACTGAGGGAACAGGGAGCACAGAGATGCCAGCTATGATAAATATGAAGGGATGGGAAAAGTAGTCAGTCCTCATTTTACAGTTATTGCACCATCATCCATTTTTGCATGGAATTGTTCCCGTCTCCCACACCCAATTGACATACAACATTTTTTCTGCATGGGGGGAATAATTACAGAACTTGGCTACAGTTTTAACAGATAAAAAAAAATGATGAAACGGATATCCAGATATCTGGATGTGCAGCTTAAAGGCTGAAAAGCAGTATTAAATCAAACTTCATTCAAGTTTCAGTACCAGCATAAACCGGAGAGAAAAGCTGGAGAATATCCAGGTGAGGCTACCAATCCATCACACAGCCTACAGACACTCACTCCAGATTCCTTTGTTTTAACAATTGACAGCACCCTTTCCACCTGTGAGGCACATCTTTGGACTGGGAAGAAACAGACCCACCCAAAAGGAACATGCCAACAACGGACAGCATTTACTCATTGCCCCAAAAAATGTATCTGGGTTCTTTTGTAAGGCAACATGACTAACCACTCTATGCTGTTTAAAGAAGAACAAAGTACAGATAAACATTTAAGATAAAAGAACAACCTTGAGCTGTTTCTCTTTCTGGGTGAGCTGCGCTTTCAGTCGTTCCACCAGCTTTTTCATGGTGTTGCTGGGGGAGCGGACGTTGGCCTCCTTCTGTACTGCCAACTCAGTTTGCAGGTAGTTTATCTCCTTCTCCATCTGGGCCATCTGGCTCCTCTGATCCTCTGTCTCGCCAGTCAAAGCTTTCACCTGGGCAGCATAATGCTCCTCCAGCCTGCAACAAATCCCCTTTGTTAATTTGTTTTATAACATACAGATTTTGTGTTATTACATAATTTGAAATCCTTTTAAGACAGAGTTTAATTATATCTGACAGGGCAATAGGGAAATATTTTTTAACTTGCTCCAGCGCATTATTACTCACTCCATACAGTGGGGGCGCCATTTTACACTGAACAAATGTGTCTCTTGTGTTCTGTAGCTAATATGGTTTGCAGGGGGTGTAATCATGATAAGCATAAGGGAACATACCAAATCCAAATCAGCTTGCAGCAACCATAGAAAAATAGGGGAAAGGGATAAAAAATAAAGCTGTTCCTGTATACCCAGGGTGTTCCTGAAACTGAAAGTCGAGGTGGGGTCCTTTCTTTAGACAGGACAGTTGCAACATGTGTAGTAGACAGCGGTTATACACACAGGTTAATCTCTTTTTGACAGGGAACACAATGTCTGATGTGGAACACTTACTTTCATTTACACATTTAGCCATTTTGGTCGCTGTTTACAATAAATTCCATTCATTTGGCAGTAGCAGGTAGGGCAGCAGGGGTTGGAAGGTCATTTTAACACCCATATCTGTTAAGGCCAGGCAATATTGCCTAGTTGGCAAGTCATTTTTACCACACGTAAGGCAATATATCGATCAAGCAGTGAGATATTTCCGACATGCAGCTTTATTCTTCACTGTTGGCAGGTGTGAGTGATAGTGATGTTACAAAGACTAATACTAGACTAAGACTAAACTAATTAGTTATCAATTTGTTTTGACAAATGTAGGGTAATACTGCAGATTCAACATAGTTGAGGACAAAACATCCATAAGTAATTGTCTATTCCTTTTTCACATTAATCCATCATTGCCAATCAGCAGTGAGGTCCGGAAAGGTACGCGATTTCTGCTGCAATAGAACGTAAAACTGCTGAGACACAGAGTTGCCAGTTTATTAGGTAAACCTACCTACCTAGCTAAACCTAGCTAAACCTAAACAGCTCACTCTAAGGTAACAAAAACACAACTATTCTTATTTTCAAAGGGTTATACAGTAATGAAAACATACCTATGAATATTATATTCCCAGTCTGCCAATAGATCCTCCTAAATGTTACACACTACACAACATCCTTCCTTCAACTGCCCATTAAGTCACCTTAAGGTTGTTAGTACCTTATTCCACAGTCTGTGGAACCTTGTATTATGGCCTGTTATACAGCATGCACCATCATTTAGAAAGGGTTGGTGTTGTTGCATAGTGAAATCTTAAAAGCTTGAATGTTTTAAATCATTACAGGCTTAAAGTTAGAAGATGTATTCAGGGACTTTTAAAGGCTACCTTGTGTAGGGCGCTGAGCTGTGCTGGAACATCAAACTGTTGTCCTCACTATACAGTATCTGCAGTTGTCTGCTGGGTAACTCACACTTGAATGTGTGATTATTCCTATGTTAATCTGGGGTTCACTCAAATTACAAAAATAAAAATAAAATAATAAAACCAAAAAAAATAAATAAATAAATAAAAAAAAACAATAAAAAAAATTATAATAAATAAACTAAATAAATATACCTTAACAAAAACCCCAAAGGTTTAGACTGAGGTTAGCAAATGTATAAAAGTTTAAATTACTAAAGGAAACAAAGGATTCTGACTCTGCTTTAATGTAATCTTCACAGGTGACCACTGGGTCAGGGAATGCGGTTTAATGATGGGATATTCACTTTGACTTCTCGTCTGCGTGTTTCTTAGCCAGCGTGTCCATGGCGGCCTTCTGTCGCTCCAGCTCAGAAGTGGTCAGATTCAGCTTCATTGTGACAGAGGAGAGCGAGATGTCCTGTTCAGCCACTGTCTGCTCCAACTCAGCCAGACGCTCCAGATGCTTGGTGGTTGGCACCATGATAGTGGGCTTCTTCATCAGTTCCTGGACAAAGGAAGGAGGGAGCATTAAACTAAACACTTAATGCTGCTTCATACAAAGCTGAAACCTTCAGCAGCAGCGCATGCAATATGACCATTATTGTGAAATGTTACTGTAACATACTTAATACAATACGTATTGAGAGGAGACATCTCTGGATATTAATATGAATCTGATGGACTAGACTTTGCATTATTGTTGTTGTGAGTTTTAACTCAAAAAGACAAAGTTATGTAAGCAGAACACAAAGACAGACATGGATACATGCGCACCATTGCTGTCTGTTTAAAGCGGTCCAGGGAGGTGTCTGTCTGCAAGTCCAACTTCTGATGCAACATTCTCAGCTCCTCCTGGTGTCTCTTTATCATCTCCTCTTGGTCCTGGGATCAACAAGGTTTAGTTAAATGAAACACTTTGGACATAAAAAGTTTACCTTCTAAAAGCTGTATTGCTTTTACTCTAACGATAAAGCCAGGTTTCTAAATAGAAGAGGAAATGAGTGATACAGGCTTCCCACCCATTGGAGATTCAAGGTATTCATAAATCCTAACTCCAACAGATACTGCAACTAATTACTGATTAAATGTTATTCACAAACCAGCAAATGCCTTCTAAAGAAAACTTGATGCATTAAGAATTGTGTGTCCATTATTTTTCCTTGTATCACTGTACCTTTCTGGCTTGAGCCAACTGGTTTTGGTATTTCTTTAACACATCCTCCTTTTTGTCAAGTCGACCCTGGAGGTCTTTGATGGTCTGGTGAGCCAGCTTGAGGGCAGGCTGACTGTCTGACTGGCCCTCTTCGTGCTTGGCAAGGTCAGCAAGCAGGCGTTCTCTGTTAGCTGCAGCTGGGAGCCGAAGACGCAGCTCATTGATCACTTTATCCCTGGACACGACGTTCTGCTCCGCTTTCCACAGAGCTGCTTCTTTCTCTTTCAACTTCTGCATATGAAGGAATTAGAATACAAACAATATGCTATGCATTCCAGTTATGAGGAACACTAAATGTATGACCAGGGACGGAATACTATACCTCATCCAAACATTTGCAGGTAGCCTGTGTGTCCAAGATGGTGCGGACATGCTCTCTGATTTTACCCAAAGCAAACTCTAACTGATGAGCTAGAGGTAGATTCGGGTCTGGTAGGGATCCTGTACCATCCTCATACTGAAATATAGGATGGAAAAATATAGTAAGACTAAGCTCAATCCTAAAATCGATGACTGCATTTAAAAAAAAAGAAGAAGAATCATGTTTTACTTGACGTTAATTTGAGCTATATATGATATATACATCATCAATGATTGTAAACATCAGTTGACCTTTTCCGTACTGCTTAGAATTTCGTTCTGGTGCTTCTCGTACTGATCCAGTTGGCGCTCCAGTTCCACCTCTCGCTGATCCCATGAAAGCTGGCATTCATCTTTAAGCTTAACATGATAAAGAGAAGTGTTTTCTGCATTACTTCGACCTTGATTTATACCTTCTTCTCTTATACTCCAAAACTACTGACACGTTACTGTACTTAAAAGCTCCTTAAAAAGTGAGGTAGTGAAAATTGTGAGGTTTTCATAACACATAATCACAATAATCCTTTCATAATGTGTTTGTCAGATGTGATGTTGACACACATATTTATGAATTTCTCTCTGCATATTAGGAAATGTTTCAGCATGTCTATAGATAGTTAAAAAAAAAATCTCTCACCATGTTTTGCTGCACGGTATCTTCTTCCAGCAAACGGATGGTTCGCTCCTGTTCTTCCACAAGGTTCTTCAGGTACCTGATCTCCTCCTTCTGAACCACCAGCTCCCTGCCTTTCCTCAGCTCCTGCAAACGAGCTTCTTCCATCTTCTTGTGCCACTCAGTTACCTGTTTAAAGTTTTACAGTGGAGTGTTTTCAGCAATTGCAGCTTATGGGCAAGATGTCACACAAACAAATGAGATCACAATGAGTTATTCTACAAAAAAAGTTTTATCTGCCAATCAAGTTGAATGACCTTCTGGGCTCCTTTCACATCCTTCAGTGTTGAGATGAGCTCCTCCAGGCCTCGAAGTCTCAGTTCCAGTTCCTCCGCCCTGCCCTCTGCCCTCCTCCTCTCTTCCTCAGCCTTCTTCTTCTCCTCCTTTGCTTTTGCTCTGTCCTCCTGGAGGCTCACCATGGTCACAGAGAACTTTTCCTGCTGGGGAAGAGGCAGCGCTCCGGCAAACTGCCTACGTAGCGACTGGATGGTCTGCCGTAGGTGCTTGGCCCGATTTCTGCCCTCTTGGCGGGCGAGGAACAGAGTGCTCTCACTGGCGTCCAGCCGCTGTTCAGCACGTAGCTTGTAGGCCTCCAGCTGTTGGACGTGAGAGTTGGCTGCCTCCAGTTTGGCCAAAGCAGCTGACTCACTGAGTTGCAGAGCTACAATGTGCTGGTGGAGCTTCGCAACGAGGGCCTTCTCATCTGACTGCGACTGAGGGTGAGAGACGACACAGTGAAGACACACACATTTTTACTCAACTCACCAGTGTATGTAGGTGACTGCTAAACAGCCAGGGTTGTTTGTGTTTTGATTAATACATTTCAATATACTTTATATCACAGCAATATTGAGAGGATGGTAATTAATGAAATTAATATGGGTCAGTTGTCAGTCTTATTAAAGTTATTAATGAATTCTTTCAAGGTTCAATAAAGTTTAAGAAACAAATAACAACAATAAATAAAATAAAACAACACCTAATTACCTGGTAGTCGAGTATTTGTCTCCTTAAAGCCTCTACTTCCTTCTCTTTGGACTGTTGTCTGGCCTGTAGAGCAGACGCCTGCATCATGGCCACATCCGAAACCTCTCGAAGCCTGCACAAAAAAAAAATAAGATACACATTACATTCTTTTTTTCTTTTGGTTGAGTGTCCCAATGTATAAAATAAAAGCTAAGGAATGCTCATGCAAGTTTTTCTTTCACAATCATTTGAAAATGCTCTTAACAGATAACTTGTTGATTAACGGCTGTGATCTATGTCATGTTTTTATCATATATTTCCAAAGTTATTCTAGGATTGCAAATGCAATCTTTAACAAAATGTATATATCATGATAAGAGCATAAATGATCTCAGGTCTGCACACTGTCACATACTTAGAAACCTCGATGCGAAGCTCAGCCTCGGCCTTCTCCAACTCTGCAATCCTGGCTCTGTCAGCGTCGCTCACAGCTTTGCTAATGCTGTCTGCCAGCTCATCTCTCAGCTCCCGCTCCACACTCTGGGCCTCTACATTCATCTTGGTCAACTGAAAAAAAAAACAGAGGTAACACTGCTTGAGAAGATTCTTTAGATAAAGGGAAAAATAGCCTAAACATACAAGTGTTAAAACACTCATGTAGTTGTATTGCTGTTTTTAGGGGTCATGAACCAAAATGTTGAGAGAGGAATTAAAAAAAAATCAAAACAGGCTCTGTATAGCATCAAAAACTAATGTGCATTTCAACAATACAAATAAATTTACTTCTTTACTGTAAGACTGTACATCTGCCAGGTAAATCCAAATGCCATTTACACTTGGCACAATGAATAAAAAATCTGTCACGTAGTCACATCACATAGACGCCCCACACAACAGTAAATGCGTGACAGACAAAAAACAATCGGCTGTTTTCTTTGGCCTCCTACCTCTGCAAACTTGGACTCCAATTCTAAGTTTCGTTCTTCCACCTGCCTGAGGGAGTTCCTCAATTGCTCATACATTTTGTGCGCATGCTCAGCTCTTTGCCTTTCATTCAGCTCCTTCATCTCAAGAGTGGTAATCTGCCTGGCGGCAGACACCATCTCGTTGTTGGCCAACACCTTGTCTGCCTTTCCCATGCTGGTTTCACCTCCTGATATATAAAAAAACCAAAACAATTTGGGATGAAATATTCAGTATTTATGGCGGGACCTGCAAACTAGGAGACTTTTGGCCCTGTGGGCAGCCTGTGCCCTATGCTGTGCCTATTGGCACATCCCAGCAATGTTATGTTGATAAGACTGATGGCCAGAACTGAAGTTTTGATGACTGTTTGATCAGATCGGGTCACTGGTTTAGCTGCTTTGTAGTCTTGTATTATTACAACTCATTTTAAAAAAAACATTACAGACTACTGCCAGTTTATAGTTTTAGTATTCACATTCAAAATAAATGAATATAACTGAATGAATACCAATTGTATTAATGTTGTCCCATGCTTGCTCTAAAGTATTCAGTTTCTCCTTTGTGATCTCCAGTTCTTTACTCATGGCAGAGATTTGCTCCCGAAGAGACTCATTCTCACTCTGAAAGATAAGAAAAAACAGGGAATAGTATAGTGTGGTCAGTTAACAGCCAGAAATGATAAAAGGTGTGTACTGGAGGTGCAATGGATAAACTTGGAGAGTTAATGTGTTTTCATACCTCCAAATGCTCGAGGTTGGTGGTTCTCTGTATAAGGCGGCTGTCCCTCTGTAGCATGTCTCTGTATTTGACTGTTAGCTCTGTATACTGTCTGTTAGCCTTCTCCAGCTCTGATGAGGGCACACTGTCATCCAAAGCTTTCTGCAGTGCTGCTATCTTATATGCAGCCATTCCCTTAAAAAAAAGAAAAAGGAACAGACAGCACAGTTAGGAGGCCAATGTGTAATGGTAATAGTGGCTCATGCAACTTTTATTTGTGATTTTTTTAAAAGGAAATTACGGTGTTTGGCAACCTGGATGTTATTCATTTTGATCCATGTTTGCTACATAGGTACAGGGATTTTCAGGGGACAACTTTACGTGTTAATTTTAACTTAACTTTAACCCCAGTCGATGTCATTCTTGCTGGAGTCCGCATTTCTCAAATCTCTACAATTAAGGTGGTGACTAAAATGTTATCATGGCCAATAGTTACAATGGTCTCTAATAAAAGTATGGAAATAAGACCCAAGTTGACAAATACCAGAATTTCTCTAAAACAGTAGTCCTTCATATTTTAATGAATGAAAAGAGAAATATGATCAGTCAACTAGGACAGTTGTCCATTTTTTTATTGACCTTTTACGGATGTATATATTGCCCTTGTACATATTTTTCTTGTTTTTATATCTGCTGCTGCTTCATATTCTAAAACTGGCACATACTTTCTACCCCTGAAAAGATACACCAGCTTCTGTCACTATATCTCAAGATAAGTGTAAAATAGAAAACTTTCAGCTGATAGTGAGGTGTCTTGTGTTTTTCCACTCAAATGATTTAAGAAAAGCACCACCAAATTTCATTTTATGTATGATCTTTGGAGAGACCTAGCTGATTTACTCTAACCCTAAACTTCTCAGTTCTGGAAAACAAATATTAGGATTGGTTTTGCTCTAGAGTCTGTTGGTGAAGTTGAACATTTTGTACCTTGTATCTCTGCAGGTAGCCTATCCTCTGGGTAACGGATGCCTGCATTTGAATGCTCTCCTCCCTCAGCTTGCTGTTTTCCTTGCGGAGGTGCTCTTCTTGCTCCAGCAGGGTGGTGTAGCGCCGTGTCAGCTTCTTCTCATTAACCTTCAGCACTGTCAAGTTGCGCAATGCTTCGCTCAACTGTCTCTTGATTTCATCTGGGTCTTTCTTAAGGGTGTCAAGCAGCTCCTTATGGATGAAATGGAAAAGGGCTTACACAAAACTCATCTTTAATTAAATTTTTTAGAAAACTCACTAATAGGTACAGTGAAGGATACACATTACAATTTGACTTCTCTTCCAATGTATCTCATATTCATTGACTCATCCATTTTCATTTTATGTACCCATTTATTCATAAAAGGCACTGAGGGGGGATTTACACATGTTAGATTTTAACATGCGCAGACACAAAGGGTGTGGCTGAGGGGTTCACTTAGGAGTGTGGCATAAAGCCTATTACTAGGTTGTGTCTTTGTGTTCAGAAAGCTTTCACTATAGTTACCGTCATAATACAGAACATGTGCAAAGTGCAAGCACATAATCCAAAGTGAATTTAGCCCAGCTATAACAAATACAAACAAAGAGATGATGTGGCAAGAAGTAACTGACAATGCGAGCAATCTTACTGTGAAACCAACAGTAAATAAAGTAATGAAGAAATATTAAATAAAATAAAATATTATTGTGACAGCAAGAAAGGAGTCGACAAAAACTGGAGAGTTTCAATAAAACGATACAGAGTTATGTTTACAGTTGGCTAGTTAGCTACAGAGTTTCTAGTGCAAACTGACTTTCAAAGTTATATTCTCCAACAAGTGTCCCGTGGGTTTTCCCTGTTCCCAAAAATGTGTCTTGGTATCTCCTCCTTATCTATTATATATTGAGCAGTGGGCTGAAGGTCGCAGACACCAACAGACT